CACGAAGAGCATGTTTAATATAATTGACTTTTTTCTCATCTTTCCATTCTTTATTCAACTGATGTATTTTACAAGCAACATAACGTTGTTCTTTTAAATCAAATGCACGATGAACTTCGGAAAATCCACCTTTACCAACCTAAAACAAAAGAGTAAAAATGATAATCATCTGAAGTCAAAATGATATCTCGATTGAATATCATCAACATGTTCATCTTAATAGTGATATTTTTAGAAAATTTCTTGAAATTAATCACATTTAATTGAAATTTAGTCACTTGTAATGTTGGATAGTGACCATGTATTAAATCATTTGTCTAAGATTTTTATTTTATAATTTTTAAACAAATACTTACCAAAATAGATAATAAGATATAAACCACCTTTATCATAATGAAAAATATCGCTATTTTCTGTTAGAGACGTTTCGTCTTTATTCAAAAGACATCATCAGTCAAATGTGACACTCGATAGTTGATTCTGAAGACAGAAAAATAACAGATAAAAGAAAATACAAGTAAGTAGAACACAACAAAATAAAATAGATCGAACAAAACTTCTATCGAACTTTCTATTTTCTACTATATATGTGAACTATGTACAAGGTGATCAAAATACTTTAAGGTCAAAGCTTTTTTGTGAATAGATTTTTCTTTTGTTTTGTATTGTGTGTACAGCTTTAAATCCGAAAGTCACCTTTTTCAGTGGAGTATGAAAGAGAACTGTGATACTATACACGAATCTTTAGTGCTAGTGGTTATCCGTTGAACATTGTGAAGAAGACGATAAGAGGGATAAAAATGAATAAGAACTTACAAAAGCCTGTTCAACCTTCAAACATTAGAGAATGCTACATTTCATTTCCTTACCACAGTATATCCTCATTAGTTTGGGCAAATAAATTAAAACTTCTTCTGTAAAGTCCACTGGAAAAGGTGACTTTCGGATTTAAAGCTGTACACACAATATCATCTGTCTTTAGCAGATCAATTCGTGATACCCAGGACGTTAAGAGGGTGGTTTACAAATATGATTGCTGTGGGTGTACGAACAGTTATATAGGACAGACAGCGAGAGGAGTAACAATAAGAAAAGAAGAACACCAAAATGCCTTTTATGGAAC